CACGAGGACCCGAGTTTGGATCCTCAGAAGTCACAAAAAAGTCAGATACTGAGCAACAGTTGCGGAGGTGGCCACAAGATGATCTCTGGGGCTTTCTGGCCAGTGAGTCTATCCGACTCAGTGAGCTCTGATCAATGAGAGACACTGTCTTAAAAAGAAGGTGGGATCTTGGAGATGGCCCAAGTGCAAACATTTGCCACAAAAGCTGATTGACCCGAGTCTGAATCCCCAAAGCTCCTGTATTTAACTTGGTAGGGCAGTGAGTATGTAATTCTAGTGCTCAATGGTGAGATGAGGAGGTGGAGAGAGGAGAAGCCCCAAAAGTTCATGGGCCAGCTCGCCTGGTATGCACAGAACAAACAAAACCTGCCGTAAACAAGGTGGATGGTGAGAATCGATGCTAGGGAGAAGATTGAGAGTCCATCTGAGAAATCACCGTGAGACTACCTGTAGAAGTAAAAGTCGGTCTACAACACTTCAGAAGACCAGAGAATGCATAACCAACCACTCCTCCATCCCAACAAAACTATGCCTCAGTTCTGTCATTTTATTAACGGCGGGAAGCTGATAAGAGTATAAAACCAAATCCCAGAGAACCAGATGATAGCTGGGAAAATAAATAGCATGTGATACAATATTCCAAACTGATTCAAAACTTCAGAAAAAAAAGACATAAACATACATACATAGTATTTTTATGAGAGTCCTGTCTACAAAAAAGGTTAAAAGTTAAGGAAACCTGGAACTAAAAAGGCTAATTACATTTTTATTCAAGATTACTTTTGGATGTTCTCGTAGATTTTTAGAACTTGTCAATTTTCACAATAATAAACCTCATGTAACTTTACTTAGAATTGAGTTGAAACAGCAAGCAGGTAAACATGAAGCAACTAGCACCCTAACGCTACTGTTCTGCCCCACCCCCATGGGGTGATGTGCATTTCCTTCCATTCATGCTCCTGTTTTAAAAAAAAATTAAATAATTTATTTTTATTTTATGTTCATTGGTGTTTTGCCTGCATGTATGTCTGTGTGAGGGTGTTGGATCCTGTAACTTATAGTTACAGCTATAAGCTGCCATATGGGTGCTGGAAATTGATGCCAGGTCCTTTGGCAGGGCAACCGGTGTTCTTAACTGCTAAGTCTCTAGGCTTCAACTCATCTTTCAAGGAATGTTCACTTTTCAGTGTAAAGACTCCTGTGACATTTGATGCCCTTGTGGGCATAATTTGTTTCCTTTCTTTTTATTTATTTAAAAAATTAAATTTATCATTTTAAATAATGTATAGCATTTTAATTATGTGGAGCATAGGGTGGTTGTTAGCTGATGTGTGGGTGTGGGAGTAGAATCCAGGTTCTCTGATGGTGGTGTACGCCTTTAATTTCAGCATTTTGGAGGCAAGGGCAGGTGGATCTCTATGAGTTTAAGGTCAGTTGGGTCTATATAGCTAGTTCCAGGACAACAAGGGGTACACCGAGAAAACCGTTTCAGAAAACATGCACACACATATGTTTACTTCATGGGTATGAATGTTTTGCCTACATGTACGTCTGTGCTTGGTCCCTCAAGATGTCAGTTCTCCTGGAACTGGAGTTACAGATGGTTGAGGGACACCACATGGATGCTGGGAATCAAACCAAGGTCCTTTGGAAGAACAGCCAGAAGCCAGAACTCTTAACCACTAAGCCATCTCTCCACCCTGCAACAAATACTCTTAGCTGTTGAGCCATCTCTATAACTTCATTTACTTTGAGATATGGTTGCTTATATTCGAAGGTGGCCTCAAACTACCTATAGTCTAGAATGACTGGAACTTCTGATTCTCCTGCCCCAAGAGGGCATCAAACCCCATTGCAGATGGTTGTGAGCGTCCATATGGTTGGTTGCTGGGAATTGAACTCAGGACCTCTGGAAGAGCAGTCAGTGCTCTTAACCACTGAGCCATCTCTCCAGCCCCTTGGAACTGACTATGTTGACCAGGCTGGCCTTGAATACAAAGTCACACCTGCCTCCCAAGTGCTAGCATTAAAGGTGTGTACCACCAAGCCTGTCTATACTTTTATTCATTGCTAGGTTTGACTATTTTGTCTGCAAATTTCTTTCCTGTGGTGCTAAGGCCTGAAGTATGTGCTCTATTAGTGAGGTGTAGCCCCTTGCTTCCTTATTTTTCAGTTAAAAATGGTATTTATGTATATGAGTGATTTGCTTGCATGTATATCTGTGTACCACTTACATGCTTATGCCTGCAGAGGCCAGAAATGGGTGTCAGACCACTCTGGAAATGAGCTACACGCACTTGAGAGCAGCTGTGTAGGTGTTGGGAATCATATCCAAGTTCTCTTGAAGCTCAGCCAATGTTCTTAACCACAGAGCGTCATCTCTTCAGCCTTACTGTTCAGATTTTGAAACAGGGTCTCATTCTGTAGCCAATAATCTAGAATCTATGAAGACATGGCTGGCCTTGAACTCACAGCATTCCTTGTGTCAGTTCCCAACTGCCATTACAGGTATGAGACACCATACCCAGTTTCCCATTTTCATTTGAAGAGACTGGTCCTCATTACTGGGTACAGTAGCACATGCCTATAAACCCAGGCCTTTGGGAAGCTGGGAAAGTTGAATCACAAATCGAGGACTAGACTGAGCTAAATATGATCCTTTGAATTGTATGTCTACGCTCATGGCAGAAGTTGGTCCCTAGTTTTTTAGGATGTTCCTGACAGGTTTTAGTAGCTAGGTGTCATTGCTTCAAAAATGAACTGAAACCTATTTCTTTCCTCTGTTTATAACATCACCCTATTGGCGATTCTAGGACAGGAACGTCATTGTTGATGTGGTAGCCGATTGTGAGTATACCTGCACTTGACCTTGTGCATGTGTAGGCTGATACTGGGTGACTTTCTCTCCTTTTAAAAAATACTATCTGGTTATATGGGTGCTATGCCATGGTCCATGTGTGAGGCCCAGAGGAAAAACGGATAGAGTTCCTTTCTTCTGTCATTACATGGATTCTGGGGACCTAACTCAGGCTACCTCACCAGTTCCCACTTTATGAGAAAGCTTGTCACTGAACCTGGAGCTCAATATTTTGGCTAAATTAGATGACCAGAAAGGCCTCCAGGATCCACCTGTCTCTGACCCCTCAGTGTTGGGATTATACATGCACACTACCGCCAATGGCTTTTACATGCACCTAGGTTCAAGAGACTAGATTTACGTAGTGTGTTGGCTGAGTGGATGGTCCTGGGTGGTATAAAAAAACAAAACTAGGCTACGGAACCCAGTCAGTGTTCCTCTACAGTCTCTGTCTGCTTCAGTTCCTGTCTTCAGGTTCCTTCCCTTGATGGACTGAAATCTGTAAGGGAAATAAATCTTCTTCCCAAATTGCTTTTCGGTCATGCTTTTATCATACTGCAAACAAACCTGAGACACAGAGCAAGTACTTGACCTACTACTGAGTCATCTCCCAAGCCTTCAGTGCAAACACTCACCCCAGACCTAAAGTGACACATTTAATAGTTCTGATTAGTCTGTTAGGGCTTAAGTCCACTGATTTTTCAAAGTAGTTTTTAATTTGTAGGGCTCCCCCTCCCATTTTAAGACTTTTGCTTTTATTCTTCATATTAAATTTTCCCTTTTTCATGTTGACATGAAGTTAGTGATTTTCAGCTGTGAGGTATGAACTAGAGGTTATATTTTTATTTCATTACATTATTTGTCTGTCTATATATTCGGAGAGGCACAGACGAGTCCCAGTTGAGATCAGAGGATTACTTGCTGGAGTCAGCTCTCTCCTTCCACCATGTGGGTCATAGGGACTGAAAAGTCATCAGGCTTAATGATGAGTGCCTTTACCCAATGGTGTTTTGTTTTTTTCCTCTTGGAGACAGAGTCTCACTATGTAGCTCTGGCTGTCCTGGAACTATGTAGACCAGGCTGGCCTCTAACTCAGACATCCACCTGCTTCTCCCTCTTGGGCGCTGAGATGTGTGCTACCCTCAACCCCCTGGCAATATTGGAAATCTTATTTCTTTCCTTTTTTTTTTTTTTTTTTTTAAGATAGGGTAGCTATGCACTGTGGCTGGCCTAGAACTCACTATGACTTTATGTACTAACTGGCCTTAAACTCACAGAGATTTACCTGGCTCAGCCCTCTGAATGTACATTCCTGACTTCTATCATCATATTTTTGAGACAGGGTCTCATTGAACCCAAAGACTGCTGTTTTGGCTAGACTGATTAGGCACAAGCCCCTAGTATTTTCCTGTCTCTGTGCCCCTCTGTGCTGGGTTACAGGTGTGCTGGAATACCCAGCTTTTGTTTGTTTATATAATAGGGAATTTGAACTCAGGTCTCCACATGCTTGCATGGCAAGCAAGCATGTTACCCAGTGAGACACATCCCCAGCCTCTCCATGGTTCTTGGTAAGAGTTTTGTCCTTTTCCCAACTTCTGAGCAGCGCAATAGCAAGCAAGGAGATCCTATATGGAGAGAAAAGCCCTCTGAAGCTTGCAGATGCCTCTCCTGCCCTGTCCTACCACCAGAGCAGTACTTGCTCTCTAAAGTCCTTAAAAGAAGGTGGAAATGGGCTCACTGTATTCTACTAAGCCAGGCATAAGATCAACTCTGAAAATGTCCTCTAACATTTAAAGTTCATAATAAATAAAGCACTACCTCTTTACTTACAGAAATCTCTCCTAATCACAGGCACAGAAGCCAGGAGTGAGGTTCTGCCTGTGCAAGAGACACTTTATCAGGTAAGGTCCACTATCCTAGACACCTTTCATGATCAGCTGTAGCCTTCTAGCTGCCTAAAAAAAAAATCTATCCACAAAGAAACCACAATGGTCCTCTTAACAGGACAGTCTGTGTGTTAAGTAGTTAGGGTAGAGAGGCAGGTCTAACAATGATAAGCAGATTAAAGTGCCCAGATATTTCTATGCTGACAGAATGAACGAACTCTCCAACTAAAAGAATATTTTTAAAAAAAAAAAAAAAAAACAGAGCATGTTTTATTTTAATCCTGTTGAGGGTGAGGGATGGAAACACAAAATAAGGGGAGGGGTCTCTTTATATAGTACATAGAACATCAGGACCAACCACAGGAAGTAAGACCCATTGCACCCCCTCCCCATTCAACTCCTATGTAGGTCCAAGGCCAGCTGAGGATAGATGGGACATGAATTAAGACACTATTGGCACAGTAACATGGCCAACGCACCAAACGATGGAGAGAATGTCCTAGGGAGCAAAGCCCCAAGCCTCAGCTGCTTCCCCAGTTAAGCAGAATGAGACTTCAGTTCAGCAGGAAGGCAGATTTCAAAAATCAGAGTACCCTAGTGAACTTTTCAGATCACAAGCTGCGGAGTGAGTCAAGACACTTATCAAGGTGGTGATGTTCTTTGCTTTCTGAGACTTTTCTTCTTCAAGCTTGAGGCCAGGTCCTCCTCTTCAATTTGGAAGGCAGGGGAATAAATGCTTATTCTACCCTCCCAAAATCCAGGCTACTTAATTACTACTTTCTTGGCTCTAAAGACAGAAACCAATGAACAATGCCGGCTCCCCATGTGAAAGTCGGCTTAAAGAGCCCTTGGGTTAGCACAACTGCCTCTGCAAAGGTTTCTATGAGCATCTGTCCCTTTATAACCTCTTCAAACTTAATACAGACATCTTCAAGTGTGTGACACACGGGCTGAAGATTTGGGCTCTCTCTAGAGTTGAATTAATAATCCCATCTTTGGAGATGAGGATAAGAAAACAAAGGCTGACGGTAGGAAGGATTGCAGAAAGAAAAGCAGTTCACAGTAACAGGTTTACAGTCAAGCCCATGGAGATGGAAGGGGAATTCTGACACTATCAACAAGTAAACATTTCAGTGGTAACCCTGTAGTTTCCATAGACCAAAGAAAGTGTGTTAAAAGGGAGAGGAGACTAAGCCAGCAAGTCCAGCTATTCATTTTACATCTGAAGGAACTCATTCAGCTAATACTGCTTCAAGTACAATCACGAGGAGAGATGGCGCTACTGAAACTCACTGATGGCGCCAGAGAACAGGGTCAAGTAGCCTACCATTTGGATTCAGGTGCTTGCTCTGTTTGAGAAGACACCTGAAAATTATCTTTGAAGACCTGAATCTGAAGAACTGCCATCCCTCCTGCCCCAATACAATTCTTTTAGGGAAAGTTGAGTAAATTAAGACATCTGCTTTAAGTCTAAGTGGTAAAAAAGGGGAAAGCGCTGAGATTTGAGTAGGCTAGCAGCTGAAGCCAGAACCAAAGTGAATGTCCTCATAGCAGCCAGGCTTGGGAGGTAAAGAACAGGAGCAGAGGGAATAGGCAGAGAGTTCCTGCTTGGCCTTTGGCTTTCCTCTTCCTCTGCCTCCCATTCCACCCAACAGCCTGATGCAGCTATCAGTCTGCCAGAGGGGATGCAATGCCCAGACCAACTTTTTATTGAGCTTATGCAGCTAACAGACTTGTAAACAGTGCCAACTGACAAAGTTTTGTTGAAAACTATAGCTTGTGTCCATTAAACACATCTCTCTCTTTTGAGATTAAAAACAAAAACCCAAAGTAAACAAATACTGTGAGAGAGAGAATTAAGAGACACACCATGAGTTGTCCAGGAAGGCAAAGTTTTAAAAAAAAAAAAGCCACATGGCTTGGTCCCAGGTGCCTCCATGCCTAGAGTGTTGCTGCTGTTACCACGTCTCCTCTTTACCAGTGGCTGGGTAGAGGTTCAGGAGCAGGGTCATCTTGGGCATGCTGCAAATACAGCATTTGCTGGTGTTGACACCCTCCTGGGGCTGTGGTAGCAGACTGCTGTCAGGAGCCCAATTCCTGGGAGCAGCAGGGGGATCCAGGACCTCCAGTCAGCCCACACACCTCAGCGGAGTACTTTGCCCCCTTTCTCCAGTACAGTTCAGCACTGAGGTTGTCTATTCCCAGTCAGCAATAAAACCTGAGCTGTTTTCCTCATAGGTTCCACTCTCACTCCCAAACGTAGGAGAGTAGTGAAAGGGAACATCGAGGATCACTGAGGGGGCAGGGGAATTCCCCGGGGATCGGTGACCTGGCCCTCTTGCAGGTTCTTCACCAGTTGTGCAAGCCAGCGTTTCGTGGTGGTGTCATCTTTTAGCACCTGGGCAAAGGTTGTGTCCTTCAGCTGGTCAGGGAGGCACTGTCTGAGTGCTTCACGTGCCCTACATCAGAAACAAACAAACCAACCAGAAAGACAACAAATAAGCCCACATCTGGGGGCTGGGAAAACCCCCTTTGTTAGATATAAATATATAACCTCCTAGGAATCTATGGCTATCAAGTTACACCAAGAAACTACTAGATTCCTTAAATCAAGTATTATGTAGTCCACAAATATTCACCACACCCTAACGCAGAATTTCATGCAAAAGGAAACTGGGATAATATGATACAATAGTTCACTTCACTCCAAACTTTGTTTTGGAGTGATTTATTATGATAAATATTGTCAAAATAACATTAGATATAGTTTATGAGAAATGAAATTATTCAAACAATTGTACACTAACAGCAGATATGACCCCATTTGTATGATAAACCAATTTTAATCCTACACTAACACCAGCTATGGCTTTACAGAAGTGTTCCAACCTTATATTTGAAAACCTTAATAAAAAATGAATAGTAAAAACTATGGTAGCAGTTTTTAATCTAGAAGTCTAAAATAAGCAAATGCCAGCTCCATACAGAGCTGTTCTGAACAGTTACCGCTATTATACTCAAGCAGGTATAATTTCTAATAAGTATATTGCAAACTTGGGGGTATTGAAAAACAGGACAAAATGATCAAAGAATAGCTAGGGCTCAAATAACCTCAGTGGCTAGAGAGCAGCTCACATTAGTCAGGCCATTTGATTCTTAGGAGCTCAGAAAGCACTCCATTATGTGGCTTAGCAGAAGCTGTACATGTAGCTTTCATCATAAATTATGGATTAATAGAAAAGGTCAAACATTTCTGAAGTGTATTACATCTACAAAGTGCACGATTCTGGCAGAGTTCTTGAACTTACCAAGAAAAAGTAATAAGCTCAACAGCTTACAGGAAGCAGAGAACAGCAAGCTAAAAAAGCCTCTAGGCTACAGAACTTTGCAAGGGACCTTCAAAGTACACTCTGATTACCTGGAGCAGCCATAGAAAGCCCGAACCACACCAGCCTCCCCTGAAATTGCATGGGCTTTTGGGAATTTCAGGGTAGAACACAGTTACAACAGGAAAATCTAACTAGTGCATTTTAAAGTCAGATTTTTAGATGTTAACAGGAACTTAAGTTTGTCTTAAATAAACTAAAGTTATATGTGTTCCAATTCTCAAGACAGAGGATCTGAGCGGTAACACTGGAATCCATTCATGAGCCTCTTTTCCCTCAAATCTTCTAACTCCTGTTAAATCTTTACCTGGGATTATCTGAGAGTCGAAGGTAACATCTCACTACATGCTTCAGCAGACGGGCAGATGGTTCTTTGGATAGCTGCAGGACCATTTTACCCTGTTTTACCCAAAACAAAGGTAGGGGGACAAAGAAGTCACAAAATAATTAGAACTGACACCAGAGATCAGATCATTATAAAGTTTGCGAGATTTTTTTTTACCCTTTTGAGACACGATCTCTATATGTGGTCTTAGCTAAGCACTCGCTATATAGATCAGGCTGGACTCGAACTCACACAGATCTGCCTGCCTCTGCCTCCAGAGTTCTGGGATTAAAGACATATACTACCATTCCAGCTAGTATTTTTGGAATAGGTCACCACTTCTTCATTTGGCTAGTGAGAAACTCATGCTGCTGCTTCAAGCCCACAGTCATCCTTTTGCCTTCCTCTGCCTTACAGATACTGGGATGACAGGCATATACTACTGTACCTGGCCAGAACAGTTATTTCTAGTTAGAAGACTAAGTTTTGAGCTAGTTACAAAGGGACTAAGCTTTGTGAATGAAGTAAATTTCGAAGAGAGTTAAGGAAAGAACTCACCAAGATCATGGCAACATGGGAAAACCGCTCATATGTCTGACATATATAAGCCAAACCAGTGTCATCTAAGAGGATCTTCTGGAGAATGAATGTGGCAACCTGGATTAAAACAAAGAAGCCTGAAGAGCTGCTTAGACGTGTCATTTCAGTGACTACTACTCACACATCTAGGTATGACCAGCACTCAAAGCATAGAACAAGCGGAGTCCCCTGCACATTTTCTGTAACTTTATCAAGCACCACACAATCAGAACAAATATTACCGTACCGAACAATTACTATGTCAGGATTTTTTCTAAAGGTTATTTATAGGCTTGACTCTTCCTATTGAGTCCACAAAGTACATGCCACTATTCTCATTTTATATAAAAGGGAAAGCCCTAGATAATTACCAGGAGGATTGCATAAAATTTGAAGCCAGCCTTGGCTACACAGTGAATCCCAAACCAACTTGGAACAGCGGTTCAACCCGCAGTCCCCCCCTCCCCCCGCTCCTATTTTAAATCAGACAGTCATTATTTTGGGGAAAAGGTTTGAGACAGGGTCTTACTCTGAAACCATGGCTAGCTAGCCTCAAACTCATAGTGTTGGAATTATAGGCAGGAGACACATTGGAGACAATTAGGATAAGAATTATCTTTCTTTGATGCCATCAGAACAGCTGTTGTCATTGCTCCACTGAGGTATACCACTGCATAGACCTGACTGTATATATGAGGTATAACAAGTAATAGACTCCGAAGGTAGCTAAATCTTAATCATCAAACCCTGAGAGTGCTGTCTCATATGTACAAAAGGGTCTTTGCAGATATAATTAGGGATCTTGAGCTAGAGAGATTACTCACACAGGTCCTCAGAATCACTAAACATCATTCTAACAGAGAGATGGAAATTTAACCACAAAGAAGGGAATACAAGAGAATGAAATGTGAACATGCTTGACTGCTTGCAGAAGGGAACCATGTGTAACAGAACACAAGGAACATAATTCTAGAAGTAAAGTGGCATGTAAAAAGACTCCCCTCTATAGCCTCTAGAGGAACCCTGGCCCTGTTCTACCTGGCTTGATTTTAGCTTATTAGAACTGACTTGTGACTTCTAGAACTGAGAATAAGTTTATAAATTAAGCCATCACTTACTTCTGCTAATTTGTCATGACAGCAATAAGCAACTAATACAAACCATAGCAAAGAACAAATTCACTAATAGAGTATTATTTGGTGAACTTTTAGTCTGTATACCATATCTGTACATCACAACAGCTTAAAACAGAACATTTCCAGCAGCTCAGAATTTTAATACTACCTTGTATCTTTTCCCAGATAATACAGATACTTTACAGGTAACCACCAATAATTAAAAATCTAAGGCACCATCTAGCTTGGCTGGTTGACTGTTTTGTCTGCATGTATGTGTGCCATGTGCATGTTTTGTGCCCATGATAGCCAGAGAGAGCACATGTTGGATCCACTGGGGCTGAAGTTACAGATCGCTGTAAGCTGTTATGTGGATGATAAAAATTGAACCCAGGTCTTCTGGAAGAGCCACTGCTCTTATTGCTCTTAGCCCTTTTCTTTGTTTTTGAACTTCACTTAGGTGGAGTCACAGTAAAAATCCATGTGCTGGTTTCTTTGCTTAATATAATTAGAACCATCGGCACTACATATATCACACTTTTTCATGTAGTTATTTTTGACTATATAACTTTTCAATCTTTAAAAATAGAAATGTTGCCGGGCAGTGGTGGTGCATACCTTTAATCCCAGAACTTGGGAGGCAGAGGCAGGCAGATTTCTGAGTTCGAGGCCAGGCTGGTCTACAGAGTGAGTTCCAGGACATCCAGGGCTACACAGAGAAACCCTGTCTCGAAAAACCAAAAACCAAAAACCAAAAAAAAAAAAAAAAAAAGAAATGTTATAAATGTTCTAGTACATATTTTGACATACATAAGAGCTCATTTCTCTTGAGAACATACCTGGTGTGAGATTGTGGAGTCATACAACAGGCTTGTGTCTAGTTTAGCAGATAATGCCTGGTTCCTAAATAGTTACATTTTATATTTACTTAGCAGGGTTTAAACCAACCAACTAGTCACCTTAGTGAGATGTTCCTGTAGGTAAGGACACTTGACCTTGAAAACCCAAGTTCAATAACCAAGGTCCACATGCTGGAAGGAGAGAAGCAACTCCCATAGACTGTCCTCTACCCTTCACATGTGTGCTGTGACACATGCACATACAAATAAAAACATGAACAACCAGCCAAACAACTAATCCACCCATCCAACTAAACTTTAGCACCCTGGAAAAGCATTCATAGTAGGACCAGGACTAGATTTAGACATCTACGTCTATTAAAGTTTGTTTGTTTGTTTATTTATTTATTTATGCATGCACTTGTCTGTATGAGTATGTGTACATGTAATATTGCAGGTCTGTGCAGAAGCCAGAGGGTATCAGATGTTCTTCTCTATCACTTTTTGCCTATTACTTCCAGGCAGGGTCTCTACCTGAACCTGGGGTTTGTTTTCAGGTAGGCTGGAAGCCAGCAAGCCTTAACATTCTCCTACCTCTGTCTGCTCAGAGCTGGGGTATAGGTGTGCACAGGATATAGCTTGCGACATTTGGTACGTGGGCAATGAAATCTGAACTCCAGTTGCCATGATTATGCAGCAAGTGTTCTTAACTACTAAGCCATTTTTCCAGACTCATAGAAGATTTGTCTATTTTTATGTGTACGGGTGATTTGCCTTCATCTATGTCTGTACACCATGTGCACACAATGCTGGGGAGGAAAGACGGGGACATCAGAGTTGTAATTGGTTGTGAGCCACCATAGGGGTAATAGGGATCGAACTTTAGATGCTGGAAAAATAGTAGTTAACCATTGAACCATCTCTCCAGCCCCACAACTGTATTTTAAAAATATTTCCCAGGTTATTACATCATAACAGACTTGACTGAAGACCTTTATTTCAACCTGTGCCTACTATGGACAAAGTGTTTTAATTGTTGCACAAAAAAAATTAAATACAAGCCTGGTACTGTGGTGCAAGTCCATAATCCCAGCTCTCAGGAGTCTGAGACAGAAGGATTGTTCCAAATTTGAAAGAGAACGAGTTTATGTGCACTATATGTGTGTGCAGAGGGCTGGTGGTCTTGGGTGCTTTAAGAAAACTGAGCAAGCTATGTGGAGCAAGCCAGTAGCTGCATCCTGTATGGCCTCTGCATCAGTTCTTGCCTTGATTTTCTGCTCTGACTTCCCTGGACTACAAGCTGTAAGAGGAAACAAACCTTTTCAACCCCAAGTTACTTTTAACCGTTGACTAATACCAGAGCAATAGAAACCTCAACTAAGATGCTGACTGTATAAGCTTGATGACCCAAATTTGACCCCTGTCATCCCAGCACCCGTGTGGTGAAATGGGAAGCAGAGACACAAGTGCCCAGAAGCCTGTGGAGCAGCTCACAGCAGTAGAAAGCAGAGACAAGGCAGAATGTGAGAGCCAACTCCCCAAAGTTGTCTTTATCTCCATAGGAGCTCATGTCACAGTCAGTCACACACTCACAAATAAATACACTTACAAATAAGACAAAACATTTTGAAGGTGAAAAATCTGAAGCTAGAGCTACAAAGTAGCAGCTCCAGACCAAAACAATGGTTGACTCTTACTTAAAGCACTCACCGTTTTAGAAAGTTCACTTCCAGATTCCATGATGCGCAAACACAAAGGGATGATTTCTGTTGTCAATAAAAAGTTGATTACTTCTTGCTCATCTGTTTTAACCAAGGCCCCTAAAGAAATATGGACAAGCAAAGTTATTTTAAAGAAAGGCTTTCTAAGCCGGGCAGTGGTGGTGCACGCCTTTAATCCCAGCACTTGGGAGGCAGAGGCAGGCGGATTTCTGAGTTCGAGGCCAGCCTGGTCTACAGAGTGAGTTCCAGTACAGCCAGGGCTACACAGAGAAAACCTGTCTCAAAAAACAAAAGAAAAACAAAAACACAAAAACACAAAAACACAAAAACCAAAAAAAAAAAAAAGGAAGGCTTTCTAATTATTTTTACTCTGTATTGTTCATCAAAAGCAAGGAATATGACATATAGACTGTAGTTTCTGTGTCAGGGAATTCATTTCATATCCATTTAAACAAAAAGCAAAAAAGAGTCAGATGCAGTGAGTCATGAATGTAATTTCAGCATTGGGAAAGCTAAGGCAAGAAGACATTGTTGAACCTGGGCTACAAGGAATTACAAGACAGAGAGAAGGGGAGTGGGGGAAAGGTAAAGGAGAAAGAAAGGGGGAGAGAGGGAGAGGGAAAGGGAGGGGGAATAGAGGGAGAGGGAAAGGGGAGAAATTCATGTAGGCACATTATACATGAAAAAAAAAAAAAACCCTTAAACAGAAAAAAGATTTATTAAATTAAGTTCTTGCCAGACACAATACTCTCTCTAATTTGAAGCTAAAGTCAGATCTTGATTTCTGATTCTCACAGTTTCATTAACAATATTAAGAATGATGCTTGCTGGGCTGGAGAGATGGCTCAGTGGTTAAGAGCAATAACTGTTCTTCCAGATGTCCTGAGTTCAATTCCCAGCAACTACATGGTAGCTCACAACCATCTGTAATAGGATCCAATGCCCTCTTCTGGTGTCTGAAGACAGCTACAGTGTACTCATATATGTAAAATAAATAAATCTTTAAAAAAAAAAAAAAAAAGAATGGTGCATGCTAAGTTTGTAAGCATTTACTAGTAAACAGATGAAAAATTAACAGCTACAAGAAGTAAACCAAACACACAACTTATACCACTATTATCAGTGAGAATTTCAGGCTTACAGAATGTTCCTGATAACTTACCTAGAATATCAATGTCAGCTGTAGAATGCTTGCCTAGAATGCATAAAACCCTGGGTTCAACCCCTAGCTCCACATTAAAAACCATATCAAGTATGATGAAGTGTGCTTGTAATCCCAGCACTTTGCAGGCAGAGGTTAAAGAATAAAAAATTTAAAAAATTCAAGGGTATCCTCAGGTACATAGTAAGCCTGAGGACAACCTGGGCTACATAAGACCATGTCTCAAGAAAAACAAAAAAAATAACTTACCAATAACTCCAAGGCTGGTGAGCCGAAGATATTCAAAGGGACGAGTTTTGCTGACTGTGTGCAAAAAGGGGTACAAAAAGAGCGGGATGTGTGCTGCCAGAAAGGCTGACCTGAAGGAAAAGACAACCACAGTCAGAACCCAGAGCCATGTCTACGTCTCAGACAGTATGCGAGACTGCCAGGGGGAGGAATCTTTTGAGAAGAATTTCACTGGTTTTAGTTGACCAACATTCTTAATGTATAATTTTGTCCCCTAGGAGACGTGTTAATATTTGGAGATGTATTTGTCAGAAGTGAGAGATGTTGAGGGCTACTTGGCACCCAGTCACAGAAGCCAGACAAGTCTACATTGCTGAGAAGGGTACTTTCTTGTCCTCACCATAAAGACTCAGCACAACATGTCAATGTGGAACAGTAACCCAGGCTAGGATGGTTAATCAACACAATTTACTTTTAATCTGCACTAAATGCCTTAAAAACTGATAACTCAAAAGTAATCAACTATAGCCAAACAAACAACCCCCAGAAACAAAAATCAAGCCATAAATACTAAAGGCACTGTGTTGCTGTACATCTACACAGAAACCTAGCCTAAAGCAGGAGAATCATGTTCATGAGTCTGGGGCTAGCCTAGAGACATTGTTTCAAAAAAAAAAAAAAAAAAAAGGCAAAAGCTACTTTAGTGCTAAAGAGATTCTTCAGGAGGCTGAAAAGATGGCTCTTGCTGGGACCTGAGTTCAATTTTCATATGTATTTCCCATAGTTTACAGCTGCCTCTGGTACTTTCTAGGTGCCCATGTGCCTATTATACATTAGCGTTCCTGTGATATGATCATTGTTCTTTAAAACTTTGCTGCTGTAAGATGACTCTGATTTAAGTAAACATAAAATAATTACTTTTGGTTTTTTTTGAACAGAGCCTCACTTTTTAGCAAGCCTCTTGAGCACTGGAATTATAAGTATGAACAACCATGGGAGGTTTAAAGCTCTGGTTTTATATTTGGGATTGAATCACTAACAGAAAATATTCTTTAAGGTAGTTGAGCAAAATCTTTCCTCTTAGACATAGCAAATCACTAAATTAGTAAACTGTTCTTATATTGTTAAAGGTATGGAATTATATTTTGCTTCATTTTAAAACATGTCATACCTATAATCTCAGCACCTGGGTGACAAAGATGGAAGGATTAACAGTTTAAGGCCAAAGCTGGTGTGGGAGTGGGAGTGGTGGAGTGGCAGCAGTGGCAGGTGGATCTTTCTTGATCTCCAGGCCAGCCTGGTCTACAGAGTGAGATACATGACAGCCAGGGTTACACAGCAAACTCTGTTTCAAATAAACAATGCTCCTCCCTCAAAAAAAAAAAAAAAAAAAAAAACCCAAAAACCAAAAACAATGCCTGGCGGTGGTAGTGCACGCCTTTAATCCCAGCACTTGGGAGGCAGAGAGAGGCAGGCAGATTTCTGAGTTCGAGGCTAGCCTGGTCTACAGAATGAGTTCCAGGATAGCCCGGGCTATACAGAGAAACCCTGTCTCGAAAAACCAACCAACCAACCAACCAACCAAACAAACAACAAAAACAAACAAACACCTCAAGAAAAAGAAAGTTTAAGGCCAGTCTCAGCTATGAAAAGAAAAACATTTTGTCTCAAAACAAATCAAATAGCCTTCTCCACAAATACCCACCAACTCCAACACCAACTAATAAAACATTACACACACAAAAAAAGCCAAGAGATATCCAGAAAGTATATTAAAAATATCCAACACACTGCAAAAACTGTAAGAAAAAAAGTTATTGCCATGAATGAGCAAAAAATAGAGTTCTGACGACTCCTGTCCATACACTACACTGCATCTCCCCTCTCTCATCACTCAGCAAAGGTATGTAAGTTCCTATAAAGTACTCACCCACCCCCAAATTACCAACACACTCAAAATACACTCACCTGGTCTCCGGGTGTGAGGCCACACACTGTAGCAATGCTAGAGCATTGCAAACTCTGTTAGACTGGTGTGCTGTCAAGGTTGGAGGATTGATAGATGGATAAATATTTACAATTTCCTGAAAAATGCAAAGAATCCCAGACTGCAATGAATCACAAATTACCAGTGTCACAGCATAGTAATTTTAATTCTTAAAGAAACTAAATTATCCTTTCATTACAAGTGTACTAAACTAAGTAGGCAAGACCTTTTCCTATGTGTCTCTAGGAATACTGGGTCGCCTATACTTCCCCTACACTTTGCAGCTAGTCTTCATTTTACTGTATTTTATGTATATTGGTGTTTTGCCTGTATGTGCATCTGTGCATCGAATGTATGCAGTGCCCAGAGACCAGAAAGAGGGTGTCAGATTCCCAGGAACTAGAGTTACAGCTGCTTGTACGCTACAATGTAGGTGCTGGGTATCAAATCCAGGACTTCTGGAAAAGTAGCCAGTGTTCTTTACCATGACATTGAGCCATCTCTCCAGACCCTGTAGCTAACTGAGGGACCCTTATTTTTTAAGATTGAGAAGTTGTATTCTACTTTATGATGAGACCCATGTTGAATATAGTTCTGTTTATTTTGGCTGCAAATCCTTTTATAACACTAACAGATTCTTAGCTACATGTGTTAGGAAGAAACTTTATGTTATTAATGATAATCGTCATTTAATCTAATACCTTGATATCTTAAGATTGTTTCATATTAACTTATTTCCCACATATCACCACTCTGGCCTGACCCAAATTTTAGTTATTTATTCTTGATTTTATTTATTTATTTTTGTAGTGTGTGTACACATAACAGCACACGTGTAGAGGTCAGAATCTGCAGGATTCGGATCTCTCCGTGTACCTAAAGATTAAACTCGAGTCGTCAGGCTTGGCAGCAAGTGCCTTTATCCAATGAACCACCTTACCAGATGCATTTATTCACTCTTTAACGCACAGTCACACACATTTAATCCTATAGTTGCCACATCTGAGTCTCAACATTTTCCTCCCTTAAACCATGTCTATGGTCCTCATACGATTTCTATATTCTTCCCAGCTATAACAGATCTACCCCCGCTGAATTTCTAAAAGCTGTTTCTCAGTGTAGTTCTTTTTTTTTTTTGGTTTGGTTTTTCGAGACAGGGTTTCTCTGTGTAGCCCTGGCTGTCCTGGAACTCACTCTGTAGACCAGGCTAGCCTCGAACTCTTGAACTCAGAAATCCGCCTGCCTCTGCTTCCCAAGTGCTGGGATTAAAGGCGTGCGCCACCACCGCCTGGCTTCTCAGTGTAGTTCTTAGATTCACTTGTAAAACACAGATTTTTAAGGCCTGCTTCTCAGATCAACTAAATTCAATCTCTTGGATAGAACCCCCAAATATGCATTTAACAAATACCTCTGACTTCTTAAAAATGGAGTCTTACAAATGTTAATATTTAAACAATCATTCTCAAGTCTTCAAAAATCATTTGAGCACAGGAAGAGAAAAACACAAGTGTGACAAACATGACTGAATTCCTACTTGTGGATACATACTCACCTGTAAAAGTGCTGCAATAGTACCAAATGAATGCCATAGCATGGGTGCAAGGTCAGGCACAGACTCTCGCTTCTTGCTAAGCTCCAGCAAAGCATTTTCCCTTGTCTCAGGACTGGACAGTTCATTGATCCACTGATAGATCTTCTCTCTGTCCACTTGGGCCAGTGCAGTAGGCACAGGCTTTAGGGGAAAACAAGAAAACAGATGTCAACTTAGTACAACTAAACCAAGTTTTATCCTGCAGTAGTGCTTTATAAACACGAATATTTGTAAATTACAGGAGCTTTGTTAAACACATATATTTGATGCAAAGTAACTCAACCTGTTTGACAGTTAATGAGCCCATGTTTAGGAGGCTATGTTATAGGTGTATTTGAGCTGTACTGAAAAATATACTAGGACGCTTAATATTGTGATATTTTAAGTCAAAAAACTAACAAACAGCTAGCAATAAGAGATGACTTTAGTATAGTGTGGTACATCTTTATAATGGAATATTATGTAGCCCTTTATGAAAAGTCATTGCTCAATATGGACCATGCTAAGTAAAAAAATTAGTAAAACACATTCCTACAAAAAGAAAGGATACACGTTTAGATTATTATACCACCTTAAAAACATTAACAGAAATATAGGCTACAATTTAGCTTGAAGTCCTTTGCCTACCTAGCTTTCATAGAACAAGTCCTATAACATAATAACTAAAAGACTCACTGAAACTAAATTAGCAATATAGTTTCTATGTTGCTCAATACAAGCAACTTTTTCCCAAGTCTTGTCATACATACACCACCACCAGTAAACTCCATGACCTCTTCTTCCACTAAGAACTAGCCTGTGACTTGTATTCAGCAACTCCATACCTCAATTTTCCTGTCAGTCACCAGATAACATGCCATGACACTTGTATACCAGGTCCCACTCTCATATATTCCCTTCCCAGAGCTGAATCTGATGCCAGCAGATAGCACCTCTGCCAGTGGTAGACACCTGTAAGACCAACACCTCAAACTCAAAACCACCTCCTCCAGAGGTGATTGTGGAGGCTGTAGTCTCCATGTAACTTTGATCCAGAACCACCTCAAATGTGTCGTAATGAGGCCCTCAAAGGCACTAGCTTCAGTTCTGTAGCCATTCTAGCAGCAGGGGGGCAGTTTGGTGCCTACCTGGATTCCTCTTATCATCCTTATTCATTTCACCCCCACTTTAGTAACAGCAGTACTTAAGTCAATTAAATATATATTTGTATATAGTAATATATAATTGACTTTAAACTAAAAAGTAGCCATGAATTTCAAAGAGAGCAAGGGTACATGGGAGAATTTGTGTGGAGGAAAGGGGGAAATTATGTAATTATACTATAATCTCAAACAAACAAATAGGAGCTAATTGTTCCCCCACCCCCAAAAAAAAGACTTATTTAGGGATGGATCTAGAAGTACATGCCTTTACTCCAGCACTTGAGAGGCAGGGCAGGTGGATCTCTCTGAGTCTGAGAATAGCCAGGTCTAGATAGTAAACTCTAGGCTAGCCAAGGATATGGAGTAAGACCTAAAACTAACTGTCTTAAAACAACCTAACCAATAAATCAATAAATAACCTATTTCTTTCTATTGTGTATGGGTATTATGGTGCAAATGTATATGCTCTCCCCTGGGAGTGGTGCCTTTAGAAGGTATGGCTCTGTTGGAGTATGTATGTCACTGTGGTTGTGGGCTGTCTGGAAATGAGTATTCTGCTAGCAGCCTTCAGATAGAGGTAGAACTCTTGGCTCTGCCTGCACCATGCCTGCTTGGATACTGCACTGTTCCTGTCTTGATGATAATGGACTGAACCTCTGAATCTCTAAGCCAGCCCCAATTAAATGTTATTTTTATAAGAGTTGCCTTGGTCATGGTGTCTGTTCACAGCAGTTACATCCTAACTAAGACAGAAGTTGGTACCAGGGTCTGGGGTATTACTGTGATAGGACTGACCATCCTTTTGTTCATAAGAATGTGGATTTTGGGACTTTGGATTTGGAAAGCAGTGGAATGCTTTAAATGGGGCTTAATGGGCCATTCTAGGAGGAATATGACTTTGTTGTTAGGAGTAATTTAAACTGTGCTGACTGGGCCCAAGAGAATTCAGAGAAGAATTTCAGTATGTAGTATATGGTATTTTGGTGAAGAATGTGGCTACTTTTTGCACTTGTCTGAAGAGTCTGCCTGAGGCTAAGGTGAAGAGACTCAGATTAATTGCATTGACAAAGTCTCAGAAACACTTAGCAGAGACTTTGTTCTCTGGATAAATCTCAAGAAGAGCATTTTGAACAAGCACAATAAACTTAGAAAGAGAAAATAAAAAAATATATTGTTTGAGCATTAAAGGGGCACCAGGAAGTGAAATGGAGCTGAATCCTGTATTCAAGGAGATAACAAATTAAGGGAGTGGGACTTTGGGGCAAGAACCTACAAAGCTAAATTTAGATCCCGGGAAGGTGATACACACCTTTAATCCCAGGAGATAGTCATGCAGATCTCTGAGTTCAAGGTTAATCTACAGAGCAAGATCCAGGACAGCCAAGCTTAGTCAGTGAAGGAGTTGAAAAATGGAAAGCTAGTGACAATGCAATAGAGCAAAGGGGCCATGTTCCAGCTCCTGCAAGTAGCAGAGTTTGGCAACTTCGGCTTTATGGCTCTGATTTTAGAGTCCAGAATAGAAGGGACTACTGGGACAATTGATGCTGGTTAGCTGGAGCTAAGAAATTAGCGGTGATTAAGGAGAGACCAGTGTCACTGAGGTGAAATCTTCTGAGAAGTGTTTTCTGAGAGCACAAAGAAGCTGAGTTCCAGAGATAGCCAAGGTTGTACCTCGTGCTGCAGCTGCACTTGGTAATGTGTAAGGTCACCCAGGTGGTACTGGTTTTGAAAGCATGAAGAAGTCAAGAAGAGCAGCTGAGGTCTGGCACTGTGAGAGGCCATGGAAAGCCGCTGGTGAAGGTGCAGCCTCCGTTGCAGTTGACAGCCAGGACTGAAGAGGTCATGCAAAGGAGTTGAGGCTTGGCACCATGAAGACAGCCTATGAGAGGTTACTGGTGAAGCCTAGTTGCAGGGGAAGACCCCAGTGTATTGGAGATGGCAGTACCATGGGTTTATCACCAAGAACAGCAGCGACAGTGGAGTGGATCAACCTGAGCTTAGAGTGCCATAGAGGCAGAGCTGGAGAAGTGACACCATCTCTTTGGAGGAGCCCAGAAGATCGTATGTGGATCCCAGACATTGAAACAAGAAGCTATAACATTGAAGTTGCCGTGGAGATCCCAAGATGTTAGAGATGCCAGAGTCATGCTGGTTTCCTGTCTTGCTTTGGGGATTACAGTTAAGTGATTGGATGAATCTCAGAAGAGACCTTGAACTTTGGACTTAACATTGTTGAGATTGCTATAAACTATGGGAACTTTGGAAGTTGGACTAAATGTATTTTATTATGCTATGACTAGATATGGCCCCCATAGACTCATATATTTGAACAAGCCTATGGAGGGGGGCCAGGGAGTGGAATGTGATGATTTGTATATGCTTGGGCCCTGGGAGTGGTACTATTAGAAGGTGTGGCCCTGTTGGAGTAAGTGTGGCACCGTGATTGTGGGCTTTAAGAGCCTCACCCTAAACCAGGTGTTGGTGGCGCACTGCCTTTAATCCCAGCACTTGGGAGGCAGAGGCAGGCGGATTTCTGAGTTCGAGGCCAGCCTGGTCTACAGAGTGAGTTCCGGGACAGCCAGGGCTACACAGAGAAACCCTGTCTCAAAAAAAAAAGAGTTGCTTTGGTCATGGTGTCTGTTCACATCGGTAAAACCCTAACTAAGACAGGTATTATACCTGCATATGTGTCTGAGCAACACACACCTATATATATGCAATGTTTGAGACCAGAAGGGTGTCAGATTTTCTGGAAAAGGAGTTACAAAGGATTGTAAAAAAAGACTTATTTATGTGTATGTGAGTCTGTATATGTGTATAGCACATACATGCATGTGGGTATCCAGAGGCCAGAAAAGGGCATCCCTAAAAGAAAACCTAGTATCAAGGATGTCATTGATGTTAGGAGAAATTCTCTAGTTATAAATAAGATTACAAAGCACTTAATATAAATTTTCATGTGAAAGTCTATAAAACATTTTTACATAATTCATTACATGACAATATAACTCAGGACATTAATGATGCACATACATACAAAATAAATAAAATTAAAAATTAAAAACATGGGCTGGAGAGATGGATCAGCCATTAAGAGCACAGACTTTAGAGCGGTTAAGAGCTCTTCCAGAGGACACGGGTTCAATTCCCAACACACACATGGCAGCTCTTAACTTTTACTCCTATCCTAGGGGAATCCAACTCCCTCACATAGACATAACAAGTCAAAACACCAAGTACATAAAATAAAAATAAATTATTAAAAAAAACCCATAAAAGATCTTAACTTACAAATAACTAAATACCACCATAAATGAAAACATCCTAAACTGGGAGCATGAAGTGGCTTAAGACCCAGTTTAAGCCAGGCGCCGTGGCATGAGCCTTTAATCCCATCACTTAGAAGAGGCAGGTAGATAGATCTCTTTCAAGTTCAAGGTCAGCTTGGCCTACATAGCAAGCTCCAGTATAGCCTGGGCTACATAGTGAAATCCTAAACCTCAAAACTGAAATAAGTAAATAAACTGAATACACCTCCAAAATCCAGTTTGCTGCACCACTCCCCCAAAATTCCAGTGCTATCATAGAGTTTTGTGGCCCATAGTAAATCATTCAATTCTGTCATGGTTAAAGTGGAGCTACTGTATTAACTACCAGCTTCAGGTAGTTAAAAGAATCTTAGAAATTATTTAGTTCTGTTGTAAGAAAGAGACATCAATTTTTTTTTAAAGATTTATTTATTTATTTATTATATGTAAGTACACTGTCGCTGTCAGACACCCATATGAGGGCATCAGATCTCATTGCAGATGGTTGTGAGCCACCATGTGGTTGCTGGGATTTGAACTCATGACCTCTAGAAGAGCAGTCAGTGCTCTTAACCGCTGAGCCATCTCACCAGCCCCCAAGACATCAATTTTATATTAAGTATAATTTACATACAATAAACACACCCACTTTAAATTCACATTTCACTAAATTTTGATGAACTTACATATCTCAATGACCATCAGAATTATGATAAAGGTTATTTCTATTATCGCCACAAAGCTCTCCAGGGCCTTGTTCAGTAAGCCCATAATCTGGTCTAGACAACCATAGACATTTTCTGCTGCTGCAGATGAGGCCTGTGCTTTCTAGCAACTACTGGTAGGAGGTATGGATCATTCACTTTAGCCTGAGAAACAGGCTAATAAAGGATTAACATGCTCAAGGTCACATAGTGAATGTTCAGCAGAGGTCAATTTATCTAAAACCACTTTTCAGTATCCCCATCTGGTCTATGTGATTGAAATCAAACATCTTCCCTTCAAGGTGAAGAAATTATTTCTTATAACCATAACAAAACTTTACTATTGTTACACTCTATAGTTTATTAACAGTTGGATTTGCATTTGGAGTTCAACTATTAATACCCAGTCACAAAAATCACCTGATAAATTTAATTTAGACTATTAATTACCATCCTCAATACTCAGACCAAGATTAAAATAGGGCTCTATATTCCAGTGCATATTGTATAGTCCCTTGTAACTCAACTGTCATCAATCTACCTTTCATTAGCATGCTACTTATTTACATAGTAATAGAGTGCAGGTGTGGTATATACATATGTGGGGCTGAAGTGTACACAGAGACAAGGTTTCTCACTGAACCTAGTGCTAGGCTAGTAGTTAGCAAACCCTAGTGATTCTTCTGTCATAACCTTGGAGCTCTGGGGTTACAGACATGTAGTAACAGCTGGCTTTTTATATGAGTACTGGGGACCTGAACTCAGGATCTTATGCTTTGAGCAGCAAGTACTCTTACCTGGTTAGCTATCTCTCCTCATATCCTTTATTAATTTTGCAAATAACTGTTTTCTGTTCATGTAAAGTAGAAAAAAACAAATTTTGTTTCTATGATAATGGTGATGTTAGGATATATTTCATAATGGCAAGATCATACTATAAGTCAACTACCTCAGTATCTTTTGTAACTGTCTCTTTAGTGAATAACACCCTGCACTGTCCTTTAATAGTACTTCCAATATCCTTGCTAAAGGGATGGTTTCCTTGCTCTGTGTGTGTGTGTGCGTGTGTACACACAGAGAGTTGGGAATTGCTAAGTAGTAGATCACCTGCCTAGTTCGTATGGGGCCCTATGTACCGATTCACAGCAACACACACACACACACACACAAACGAAAATAAAAAGGAACTTTAGGGCCGGGGAGATGTTTCAGTCAGTAATGTGCTTGACATGAAAGTATAGGATCTGAGTTTAATTTCTAGAACTCACCTAAAAAGCTGGCTTTTAAATTTATATATGGCACTCTAAATAGTTTGAAGAATTATATATTGAGAACTTTTTTTAAGTAGCGTACCACAAGTTTTTGTTTGTTTTAAAGACAGGGTCTATGTAGCCTTGGCTGTCCTTGAACTTGAAGAGATCTGTCTGCTCCTGTTCAAGTTTGGGACCGAAGGCACCACTATGGTTGGCTTAATGTGCCATAGTTTTAACAGCTACTCAAATAATGCATTAGGGAGAAAAAAGAAAAAGGAAAATGAGAATCTAGACAGAGAAGATTGGTACTGAAACGCATGTATGCTCAGATGCTGAGCTCCACCATCTTACCTGGAAGAACTCCCATACCACCAATGCTACTTTTCAATTAGATGTGTCTCAAATAATATGTGTAAGTGGGGAAGAAGGAACATAAAAAGCTACTGGCTTCTTTTCAGTTGCTGCCTGCCAGTTGACTGCCATCTCCTGCCTCCCTTCATGGCTGCTCCCAGACCTTAGTGAAGTGAGATCATCAAAAAGAGGACCAGGAATTTCATTTGGACACCAATCAGACCAATGTCAAAACTAAGGGTAACAGGAAACCCAGAAGTAGTGGCAAAAGGTATGGAGAAGACTAGATTCTCATAACTACATAATCATGAGAACAATAAGAAAGCAAAACACACACTGCCCAGTGGCTTCTGGAAACTCTTGGTCACAAGAGTTAGAAAGTGTGACGTGTTCCTTTGTAACAAATCTTACTGTGCTGAGATTTCTCAGTGTTCCCTCTAAGAACTGCAAAACCACTACAGAAAAAAAAAACACAGTTGGCCATCAGTTACCAATCAGGCTGTGTAATGAAGGAATGACTATGTGGCTTACACATAGACTTTATTTGTGCTTAAGTAACACACACATACACACACACCTCCCTAAGGAAACTAGTCGCTTAATTAAGACCCTGAACAATTATAAACAGAAACAGGATATAAAATATTACTTGCTCTGAAAAAGAAAAAAAAAATCAACTTGATGAAGCTGTATGTTCTTTAATTTTTTTTTAATGCTTGTTAGTTTGTGTGTATTGTGAGTACTGGGGATTTACCTCAGGTCATCAGGATTGGCAACAAGTGACATTACTCACTGAGCCATCTCACTGGTTCCTGAAGCAATTAGACCAGGCTATCCTTGAATGCAGAGATCTGCCTGCCTCTGCTTCCCTGTGTGCTGGGATTAAAAGCATAAAGTCATGCCAATCAGACTGTTCACTTTTGGGAGGAGTCTCTAGAGACTGAATTCAGGGTGTCACACATGTTAGATCAAATATTCTATAATTGATATTTCCAACCTTTTAAAAAATGTTTTCTGAGATTTAATAAAATTGCCAGGTTGGTCTTGAACTTGTGATTTGCCTGTTTGAGCTGATATTACAGATGGTGCTGCCACCACACTCTGGAGAATGTTTTTCTTTTTGGTCAGGATATCACTATGCTATCATGCTGGCCTAGAACTCTCCATATTGACAAGGCTGGCCTCAAAATTTAAAGAAATCCACTTGCCTCTGCCTCCCAAGCATGACTATCATACATATTTCATTTTATACTTGAAGATAAGGTAGTTTTTCATGTTTTATCTAGCCATTATGTCATGTTGTCTCATAATGTAATCCCAGTACATTATTTTCCTGATAACATTTCCCCTGGGTGAAAACAAAATGAAATTGGCCTTTGGAAGTGTTCTTAAACTATACTGCTTCTGGTCTGGTTGTGAGAAGAGCCATTCAGTCAGCATTATTTGAGCGCTTACCTTGTAGTAGGAACTGTCCCAGCGATGGTGAAAACAAGTAAACAGGACTCACCAAATACCTGCCCCTGACTTCCAGAAGACAGACAACCCACACGTAAAAATAAATAAATAAAAGTCCAGTAACTAAACACTGGGATCAGAGAAAAATGTTGGGGTTAAAAGCTACTATGCATATGGTCAGAAAAAGTCACTCTGAAGTAGACTTGTGTGCATGTATGGAGGCAGAGTCCTAAGAAAGACATTCCAGGTAGAGAATATGCAACAGAAAAGTTCATATACTTTTTGATAGGAGCTTAGGGAGCAAATGACAAAAACCAAGCCAATAAACGTGACTAAGAACCACATCATACAGGGCTTGTAGGCCAAAGAGTCTACTTTCTCTAAATTTAACCGAAAACCATAGTACGACTTTAGGGAAGTGTAATACATGATTCACTTTTCTTGCTAAAAGATAAAACGAGAGGCGCGAGAAAGTCTTTAAACACAGAGAACCTTAAGTCAGATATTCTTTGGCTTTCCTCATGCAAAGCAAGTGGCTTGAGCTAAAAGCCCATTTTCTAACCACTGAGATGTGCCTAGGAGAGGAGTTGAGGGATCACGGGACCAGAGTGAATGGCCGTGGAATTATCCTTATCCCCGCCGACGCCCAGCACACACAACCGGAGTCCAGAAACTGACGCTGAAAGCAAATGAATCAATGAATGGCCTGCTGAGGCAGCGCGGGGACCAGGCCTCGGCGCCGGAAAAGAACGCGAGGCCGCGCGCCAGGCCAGGAGAGGGGTCGGGAGGGGATAGCGGGGGTCCAGCTCCGCCACGGTCAGTGTATGGAGACTCCCGGACCTTGCGACTAGGGGCAGAAGCAGCTGGACTCAAGGCCCGGGTCTGGGAGCTAGAAAACAGGCTGAGACGGACATCCGGACGCAACCACTCACCGCTGCCGTTGCCAGGCTGTGCATGTTTGGAGCCGCCGCCGCTCTCCTCCTTCTGCCGGACGCGCCGGACCCGCGTCTCAGCTTCAGCGGCTCTGCAGCGGAAGATGATGAGCCGCCATCCGCCTCCGGCTCGCTCCGCCCCCTTCGCAGCCCTTTGACCTCTCACCTCCGACCCTCCGCCCACACAGCCCTTTCCCGCCTCCTGGACCTCGGCCTAGCAAATAATTCCAAAGTATGTTCTTTGAACTTTCAGATTCAGGATCAAAATGACATCTGCAAACTACTGGTCCTCGTATCTCCCCGCCATCGCAGGTATATCCCCTAAGAAATGTGAACTCTGACTTTCCTCCTAAGGCCAGAGAAGGGCGGGAAAAGGCCAGCAGTCTTAGAAGGACGCGAATTGCGCATGCTCAAGCGGCTGAGCGAGAGGAAAATGGTGGGAGGCCCAAAGTTGGTAAAGAGGAGAGTGCGCATGTGTATTACAGTACCGTCACCGCAGGGGCGAGACCGCCCGGGGTAGGGGCTGGGTTTGGTGGGGGCGGAGCGAATGCTTGGGGGTGGGGCTTGCGCGCTTACGTACACGCGCCTGGACTGGTTGCGTCGAGAGTACGTGCGTCAGTACGTGTTTGCGTGTAGTCACAGTTCCCGCCATCAGCGGGTTTAGGTGTGCTGAGGAGAGACCGGTCTCGCTGTCTGGGGCTAGAGGAGCCCCTTCCGTCCGAGCCTCTCGGCTCCTCCCACTCCGCGGGAACTTTGTGCTTCCGGCAAACTTCTCCCGAGCTGGGACCCTCTGGCACAGGTATGGCTAGCCGGGACAGCTTCTGAATTGAGCCGTTTTCCCCGGCACCCCCCCCACCCTGTGCGGTCCGCCCACTCGGCGTCCACTCCAGAGTTCGCCGGTCTGCTTCTCAGCCCGCCCCGGGTCCTTGGACTCTCCCTATGCCTTACAGGTGGCCCATTAGAGTGTTTTCTCTTTACTTTCCTTCTCCTTTAACGCGTCCGTATTGTCACTTGCTTTCTGCATTCTAAACCTGGCCTCTCTTCACCAAGGTTCAGGTGGTCTCAGCTTGCCTCTGTGCAAGGCCTGCTGTCTTTACAGGTGACTTTGTTGCCACATATTCATCAAGACCTTGGATGCGATACTCGCCTTCTTGATCATTCTTAACTTTCCTACTCCTCTTAGACATTACTCGCTGAAAGAGAGTGAGTGTAATTTTTGTCGTGCATTTGGTTGCTGTCTGTATCTAGCCATGACACTGACGATGTCCAGTTTACCAATTTTAAATCAAGATCTGGCGAAAAATAGAAAGGTAATCGGTAAGAAAGTTCCATGTCGTTGGAGAGTTGTACTGTAGTGTTCTTCAGATATTCTTTTGACGAGTTATACTACCTAATGAGTCTATAGCTGAAAGAGCTAATCTAAGAGGGAATGTTAAGGGGGCATTTGGGTTTATTGGGTTAGTATTAGAGGAGGCTTCCGGGCCAGACAGATAGATGGACACTAGTGTGTTTGTATGATATGTTTGTCATTTGTCATGTTAATATTTGGATGAATATCCAAAAGAATAGTGTTGTATACTGGCAAAAGGTAAACGAGGGACTGAAAAACCCAAGGACAGATGTAATCAGTTGTCTTGGTAAGAAACTTTGGCAGGGTAAAATGATTTGGTTTTGGACTGCGGTTTCTCTTCTGTTGCTCTTCCAATCCTCTCTAAGCTTTAAATTCTGCTATATGTTGATAACTTGAGGATTTTTATTTCCAGATCCGTATTTAAATAGCTAACTCTACTTAACATCTCAACTTGATTTTTTTCCCCTTAGGAATTTCAAATATGACACCTTTAAAAGCTAGAGTCTTGATCTTTCTATCTGTACCCAAATTCTCTCCTTTCCAGTGTCCACTACCACATGGTGCCATCTGTCCATTTGTTCAGTTACACTGGGCAGAAGCTTGAGAGGCAGTCTTGATTTCTTCATCCTATGTGTTCATACCTTTCCAAGTTCTGTTTTACTTCCAATACATGTTTTGCATCTATTTCTGACCATCTTCACTTTTACTTTTCTAGTTCAAAGCACAGTTCTTTTTCATATGAACTTGATCTCCCTTGCTCCTATTCTCACCTATAAAATTGGATTAAGAGTTCATAGCTTACCTGGGTAGTGAGAGGCAGGTACAGATGGATCTCTGAGTTCAAGACCAGCTTGGACTACAGAGTGAATTCCAGGACAGCCAGGAACAGAGACAGCCTGTCTCTAAAAACCAGAAAAAAAAAAAAAAAAGTTCTCACCTTAGTGGATTATTATGAGTGCTATAAACTTGCTGAAGCATTGACACACAGAATCTGGCAAGTAAGAATTAATTTTTTGTTTTGTTTTGTTTTTTTGTTTTTCGAAACAGGGTTTCTCTGTATAGCCCTGGCTGTCCTGCCTGACAAGTAAGAATTAATTATTATTGTAATTATAAGTTAAAAACACTACTTTCCTATCTGATCTCCCTGGATTTTGTTTTTCTTTTTTGTCTTCTTCCCAAACTCACCACTATCTATCCATTCATTCAAATAACATATAATTTCTTAGCTTGAAACCCTTCAGTGACTTTCCCATTGCCAAGGTGCTTATTACTTTAAGATAAAATTTAAAATCATGTTCTGGGGATACAGTTCAGTTGCTGGAATGCTTGCCTAGTATGCACGAATCCCTGGGTTTACACTCCAGCACCACATAAAGCCAACAGAGACAGGAGAATCAGAAATTCAAGATATACCAGCCTAGATGAAAAGACCATCTCTTTTAAAGAAGAAGAGGAGGAGGAGGAAGAAAAAGAAGAAGATTATTATTATCATTATTATTATTATTTCAGAATCACAAGATTCTATATAACCTGGTTCTTGCTTGCTTCTTTACCTTCACCTTCTGACCTCTTCCTTTCTTTTAACTAACCTCCTGCCACACTGATTTAATTTATGTAGACACTCAATGTTTCTGGTTTACGGCTTTTGCATATACACTGCTCTGTTTATTTGGATTGTTCCAGCACTAGTGAGTGCTACCATCCTTCGATCAACTTATGTCTGAATTTTCAGTTTAAATAATACTTTCTCAGAGAAGCCTTGTTGATTTTTTTCTCTTTTACACACACACACACACACACACACACACACACACGAGGTGTAAAAAAAAATGAGCATAAAGCGACTTTCACATTCATTTCTCAAAAATGGTTAAATGAATCAAATTGGAAATTGCATAAGCTTGTAATGATTTAAAGTATAAGATGCTTTAAGAATCATCATACATTTTGAAAGCATCAGTTTTCAGATACTCTTATCAAATGAATTATTCTGCAAAGGACACATCAAAGGAAAACAGCTAGAAATATAGCTGAGCTGGTACTTGGTTAGCATGCTGGAAGCCTGGATTCTATTTGAAAATGAGGTGGGGAAAGCAACCGAGGATCTCCAGTTAAGGATTTTTTTTTTTAAACTTAATTCCTATGTGAATCAGGAACAGGATTGTGTGAAATCATTCTGGTTTCAGACAATCTAATGGAGGTAAATCTTTTGTAAATTAGAGATAAAATCTTATTTAGATAAAAAAAATTTCTTTCCCCTAAGACTTGAACTTTATCTCCTTTGTATACTTACTGTATGTGATTATAAAAATTAGCCGGGCAGTAGTGGTGCACACCTTTAATCCCAGCACTTAGGAGGCAGAGGCAGGTGAATTTCTGAGTTCGAGGCCAGGCTGGTCTACAGAGTGAGTTCCAGGACATCCAGGGCTACACAGAGAAACCCTGTCTTGAAAAACCAAAAAAAAAATATATATATATATATATAATTGATATGGTATCTGTGTACGTGTTCATGCAAACATGTGGGTTGGGTACATGTGTACCATGGCATGTATGTTGATGTGGTCAGAAGACATGTTTCAGGAGTCATTCAATTTTCACTGTTGGATCCAGGATCAAACTCATGTCATCAAGCTTGGACAGCTAGTGTCTTTTCCATTTGGGTAATTCTTTACAGGTTCTATTTTTTTTATGATTTTTATGTTTTATTTTTTTGTTAGGAAAGAGAGTCCTTGAAAATCTATAAGAGTGGTTTATATTTTTTTAGCGACAGGTTAAATTGAGACTAGTAAAGATGAGGGTTTTTTGGGTTTTTTTGAGACAGGATTTCTCTGTAGCCCTGGCTGTCCTGGAACTAACTATTCTCTCTGTAGACCAGGCTGGCCTCAAACTTACAAGTGCTGGGATAAAAGGTGTGTGCCACCACGCCTGCCTTAAACAGGGTCTTAAGCCGCTTCAGGCTCCCAGTTCAGGATGTATTCATTTATGGTGGTATTTAATTACTTGCAAGATGAGATTTCTACAAATAGATAAAACAGTTCTTAGTAGATAAGGAAGTCAATATTAAAGTTTAATAACATGTTTTAGGGATTTAAGAATTTATATTGAAAACAATAAAACACTAAAGTGTTACAGATGTCAAACACAAGTACTTGGTTTTATTTCCTAGTTTGTAATGAGCAAGTAAAAATGTTTACAATGGAGTTAAGTATTAGAACAGGTACTTTTATTTTGTTGAAATATACTAGAAGTGTGCCTGAGTTCTTGTTGTTATACATCATGTGCCTTCCTAATTAGGGAGAAGACTAAAAAAACAAATAATGTGGACTTTGGTTCCTAAGAAATAAAAAGAATGGTTCTTCCAGATGGTTTTGAGCCACCATGTGTTTGCTGGGAATTGAACTCAGGACCTCTGGAAGAACAGTCAGTCCTCCTAACTGCTGAGCCATCTCTCCAGACCAAAAGAATGGTTCTTTAGAAAGACTTTGAAGAAAAGGATTCATTGATGGAAAAAAAAATCCTTTGAGAATAATGTCTGGGAAGTGACTCAGAATTCATTGATGAGGATGATCTATGGTAGTGGTTAAAAATTTGGGTTCTAGCCAGGTGTAGTGGTATGTACCTGTGATCCTAGCCCTTGAAGAGTAGAAGTAGGAGGAATAGTAGTTAGCCTCCACATAACATAGTTGAAAGCAAGCCTAGGTTACATGGGACCCTGTTTCAAAAAACAAAACAAAACAAAAAAGGAAGCAGCTTTTTCTCTTACTGACTTTTATCTTATCTTTCTTTGTTTCTTCCTTTTTTTTAAAGATTTGCTTACTTTTATGTCTGTTTTTCCTGCACATATGTATGTATACCACATCTGTGCCTAGTGCCTGTGGAGGTGAGAACAGAGTGTCTGGTCCCCTGGAATTGGAGTTACAGATGGTTGTGAGCTACCATGTGAATGCTGGGATTTGAAACTAGGTCCTCTGCAAGTGAAACAAGTGATCTAGACTACTAAGCCATTTCTCTAGCACTCTGCATAAATTTCTTTTCTTTTTTTTTTTTTTTTTTCGTGTAGGGGAGTGGTTTTTTGAGGTTTGTCTGTGCAACCCCAGCTGTCCTAGGACTCGATCTGTAGACCAGGTTGGCCTTGAACTCGGAGATCCACCTGCTGCTTTTTCCTCTGCCTCTGAATCTCTGAAAGCCTGAGATTCCTTTATCTGTAAAATACAGTTATAAACCCTATCCTTAGATTATTAATATTAGCCAGGCGGTGGTGGCGCACGCCTTTAATCCCAGCACTTGGGAGGCAGAGGCAGGCGGATTTCTGAGTTCGAGAGTTCAAGAGTTCGAGGCCAGCCTGGTCTACAGAGTGAGTTCCAGGACAGCCAGGGCTACACAGAGAAACCCTGTCTCGAAAAACCAAAAAAAAAAAAAAAGAAAGAAAGAAAGAAAGAGGTTATTAATATTAAATGAAAGTGCTTGATATTCTACTTATTGCTATGCTTAGTTAATGATTGATACTGGGTGAGGTAATGGCAAAAAAGTGAGAATTTTAGTTAATTAATCAACTTACTTATTTTGAGACTGGTTCTCATGTAGTCCAGGCTGGCCTTGAAACTCACTGTGTGTCCAAAGATGAACTTTGAACTGACCCTCCTGTTTCTACCTCCCAAGTGCTGGGATTAGAGGCAGGCCAGTTAACCTGGTGCTGAGGATTAAATCTAGGGTTTCCTGTATGTACCCTACCAACTGAGCTACATCCCTATCCCAAAGTGATGAATTTCTAAATTAGGGAAGCACTTTTTAAAAGTTGGGGTTTAAAAGATGTTGAATAGGTGAGAATGATCTTAAAGCTTAGCAATTAAGACTTGCCTGAATGATAAAGGAAAGGATAAACATGGGGAAATCAGGCCAAGCATGGTGGTACACGCCTTTAGTCCCAGCACTCTGGAGGAAGAGGCAGGCAGACCTCTGTGAGTTTGAAGCCAACCTGGTCTAGAAAGTAAGTCCAGGACAGCCCTGGACACACAGAGAAATCCTGTCCCAAAAGACAAACAAACCAACCTAAACTAAAAAAAAAGGAAAAGGAGGAATGGTAGCTGATCATTCACTGTGTCATTCACATTTGTTTCTCCTGCTACACTGTCTTCTAACTGGAATATAGTAAATCTGAAGCTTTTGTCCAAATGAACAGATGAGTTGATAATCTTGTTTAAAGTTTGTGGTAGAATTTCAGAGATAATTAGGCTTAGAGGGACCTAAAATTTAAAAAGATTTTTTTGTTGGTTTTTTTTTTTTGAGTGCTTTCCAAAAGGTAAGTGAAGATACCCTTTTCCCACCTTTAAAAACTACAGCTCAACACACCTTAGAAGCAGCCTTTAAGACAGTTGTGATGTAACAATGTTTCTAAAGTCAACAAAGGATGTACTTTTTCACTGACTTAGTTTCAAAATCTAGTAGCAATAAATAAAAGCAAGACACAGGGTGATGGACTTGCAGGCTCTTCCTACAATTCCTCCTTCTCTACTGCAGGCACATCCCTATTTTGTGAGGGGTGGAAAGTCTTTACATATTTTTAGTAAGTGGTCTTTAAATGAGTCTTTTTGACATACATGATTTGTTTTCTTGAGTTTTAATTTCATATGTTGAAACTTTTTAAAGCACACTTATGTTTTCTTTAGCTGAGTTGGTGACTGCTGGAGGGACCACTGGTAGAGCTGAAGAATATGAATAGTTTCTCAAGAAAAGTACATTGCTTTTGGCACAAGAAGCAGAATAACTGTGAATTATTATCACGTGGAATTTTTCAGTAAAAATCACTGAAAAGTAAGTTGTTTTTGTTTTTGGTTCTGTTTCCAATATTATGCAAATAGGCAAGAATTAGCAGTTTTTTATATTCACTATGTAATTATACTTTTATGCTTCAGTGTGTTTTCTTTACTACAGAATGCCTCCAATATGTGTGCATTTAAGTAACTGAATACAATGTATACACTGTTTGCAATATGAACACTCAAATTTGGATGGCAATCAATTGTGAAATAGTTTAGAAAAAAGAGAATCTTTTAACATACTTAGAATTTATTTTAATTTTCTTTTGTTAAAAGAAAATAACACTAGTTGGATAAGACAACTAGTGTTAGAGTTCAAGGAATCTTTGATTCCTGTTGACAAAGTTTAGTTATTGCTAGGCACATGGTTCACTTTTGCAATCCCAGTCGGTGAGGGGCTAATCCAGGAGAATTGCTGAGTTTGAAACTAGCCTATACTATACAATGAGTTCTAGACTGGAGTGCTACAATGTAAGGCCCTGCCTCAAAAAAAATTATTTTTCTTTTAAAATTGTTTCTACATGTACTTCAGTCTGAAAAACTGTCTCTTAAGCAAGTAGGGCAAGGTCTGATAACTTGATGAGTGTTCAGAAGTGGTTATTGTTCATCCATTTGGTACAAAAGAAGGTACTGAGCATATTAAAGTTGTACTTATTCTCTAATTTTATGCTCTGTATCTTTCAGTCTTTTCATTAGAAGAAAACAAAGTTGTTAAAGTGATTAAGAAAATGTTCTACACATAAAGTTATGAAGCAAAAATTTTATACTCATAACCAAGAGTTGCATTTAGAATTAGACAAAAATAGGATTTTTAAATTTCTTACATATTTTAGTGAACATGAAATTTTATCTCTAAGTTTTATTTAATAATGATTTTTTAATAAGGTAAATATTAAGATATTTGTGCTTTATATTCCCTTTTGGTACCCTAACCAATAATGAGATATAAAGCAAGATGAAAGAATTTGATAAGACAAAACTTTTTGAAGGGAGAAGTATAAGGAAAGATGAAAAAAATTTGTAGGATATAAAACATTTTTATAAAAATGGACTTATTATGTATCTTTGATCTGGTACTTGTATAAGTTAGACTAGCCTTAAGTCCACAGTAATCTTCCAAGTGCTGGGATTTACAGGTATGTGCCACCATGCCTAGCTTGTTTATCATTTTTGAGCACCGATACTTAGTGAGATTAAAGAACATATTCCATGTCTTCAAGTAGTATACATAGAAACAAAGGTATAAACAGCATTTATAAAACAGTGTCAAAAATGTCTCCATAAGTACAAAGTACAACAGAAATATGGAGAAGGATTTAGATAGCCTCAGAGTGGTTATGAGGAAGAGAACCAGTGAAAAGTAGTCAGGAAGCTTACAGAGGGTAACATCTAAGCTGAGCCTTGATTTTTGAACCAACAGAAGGAATTAAGGCAGGTTGGGGAAGGGAGAATACATGAAAACTTATAGACATGACCACAGTTTGTAAAGATGCAGTGTCATAAGAATACAGGCTTTGGGAAAATTTTTTAGTTGAGAAGGCTGGATTGAGGGGACTCTTACTAGGAATGGATAATCAGGGCCTGGATCATGAGGCTCTGATGTCATGTTAATGAACTTGTATTTTATTTAGAAGAGAATGAAAGGTCATTTAATAATACTAAGATGGAGAATGATTCTATTTGATTTGTAGTTTACTTAGAAAATTGCCTGAGGACCGGAGAGATGGCTTGGTGGTTAAGAGCACACTGACAGTTCTTCCAGAGGTTCTGAGTTCAATTCCCAGTAACCACATGGTAGCTCATAACCATCTGTAATGGGATCTGATACCCTCTTCTGGCATGTCTAAAGAGATCAACAGTGTATTCAGATTCATAAAATAAATAAAATGCTTTTAAAAAAAAATGTTACCTGAAAGGGCATGTGGAGTTAGAATTCACAGAATTTTAACCTCCCATTTTTAGTCCAATACCAAAATAATACAAGAAGGTCAGAGCTAGTGACTCTGGCTTGGGAAGCTGATGTAGGAGAGGAAAAATGTATCCTTTCTAATCCTGATAGACAAAATGGAAAAAAACTCAAGGACTTGGACAAACAATAGAGCCACAAATAATTGCTAAAATGTATTACAAGTGTAGGTTGCTTGTTTAGCTTTTGGCAAGGTTATTAGTTTGAGCAAAATGATACATGAATAGGCAGGTCTATAAATAATAATAAATGTTATTACTTTGAATTTATACATTTAGTTAATTGCTAATAATTAAATGTAGCCACAGTTGGCCCTCAGAAATTTTTGAGGATGTGAATAAAGAGTACTGACCTCTCAAAATGTTTTTTAATTTCTTTTTTAATTCCTAGTTATTTTCTGTGCAATAACTATAGGCTTTGAACTAGAGGACCCCAGACTAGTCGTCTCTTGCCTACAGGTGAGTTGTTTGTTTGTAGCTTTTGAAAGTAAATTAGAATTTATTGCTTATAATATAAAATGAGTAGTTTTATATAAAGTTTATTTTCATGAAGAAAAAATTAGGTGATCTGGCAAATTTGGTTTATGTGCTAGTAGATTTGATAGCACGTATATGTTTTATCTACCTGAGTCATTTCTCTTACCTAGCTAGCCGCTAAAGATGGTTGTTTTGTAGCTTGTGTCAACATGTGATTTATTGAGGTCTTTGGAAAAAGAGATACTATAGAGAAGGATTGATTCCGCTTGGACACTAACTCCATACATATTAAAAGTACTATCAGCTGAGTATATATGCTGTTTTATTCCCCAACATTATAGTGTTTGCCGTTGCACTTCATGGTTGACACACTAATATCAGAAAAGAAAATTACAATTAGTGACAGAGTCAGCTCCCAATTTCTAGACCGAATATGTCTTTTATGCTATCTTTTCTACATTTTCCAGTTGAGCTATCTAGACAGTAGTATTGTTCAAATAATGTATAAATTTATAAGCAAAAATCCATTTTAGAGATACTGTTTTAGAATTTGAAAATACATAAAAAATTTGATTAACAGTGTTAGATATTTGCACATTTATATATGCAGTACTATTTGGTAATATCTCCTATTACTATAATTTTACTTGCTGACTTTTGGCAAAGCTAGTTGAGTATTAGATATCCTATTAATGATATAAGTCACTTACAAGTATTAAAGTTCATTCAAGGGGTTGGGAAGATGACTCGGCTAAGGTACTCAATGACCAAGCCTGATGACCTGAGTTTGAATTCCCAGAACCCAATCAAAAACTGGACAGAGTACAACATGTCTGTAATCCCAGCATACTCCTACAGGAGTTAGGAGGCAGAGACAGAATCATAGGAAGTTTATGGGTTCACTACCCTGCAGGATGCGCAATGAACAAAGGGGACCTTGTCTCAGGCAACTGCTGTACAAGTGTTCCTCTACTCAATAACACACATCATATACACAGGAAAGAGAAGAAAATAGTTCATTCTGGAAACTTGAATATTTGTTTAAAGTTAAATTGCTTTATAGGAATGCTAATGTTGGGTTAGGGAAGGAGTAAGATTTTGTTGTTCTTGTTGTTAGAGATTAAGTGATTTTTTTCCTAATGTAATTCTGGATGTTGAACTAGTTTGTTTATTCCTAATTTTTAAAATTCATTTGCTATATGGTGTACATGTGAATATACTTACTGCTGACTAAGTTATATTGGGTTGAAACTCCATATTCTAAGGAATGGAGTCACTGGAGTTGATTTTTAACTTAAAATTGAAATTCAAACTCTATTATATAAAAAGAAAAGAATGAGTACTTTAATGATAAAGTCACCTAAATTGAGAATGGAATTGTTATTTCTAATTGCCATATCAACTAATTTGTGAATGGTGCAGGATACAAAATACAGTGACTAATAGATACAAAGAAGCATGTACAAAAGAAATGAAAGATGATTAAATTTCATCTGCCTTAGCTAGCTCTATTATCTGTGTTCTTCAACTGATCAGGACCTTTGAGTATGAAGATGCAGAGATAAAAGAGATTGATTCAAATAGAAAACTATATAAAATGATAATCACTTGTAATTTTTTTTCTTAGAATTCATCAGGTGAACATATATTTTTGCTTTTTAATTTGGTTAAAAGCAATTTATTTTTAAAGAAAATGTCTCCTCTGAAGATATATGGTCCTATCAGAATTCGAAGTTTGCAGACTGGGATTACAAAATGGAAAGAAGGATCCTTTGAAATTGTGGAAAAAGACAATAAAGTCAGCCTTGTAGTTCACTACAACACTGGAGGAATTCCAAGAGTATTTCAGGTATAACAAATTTTGATTTGGACTGGTTCCTTAGTGAAATCTTTTTTATTCACTAATAGCCTCACTGTGTCATAGTTACAGTAAAGTAACTCTGCAAGGCTTCCTACTTCCAAGACACGAGAACTTTGATGTACCCGTCTTATAAATTACTCAGTAGTGTTGTTGGGTTTAATAAAGAGTAGAAAGCAGTCACCATTGTTGCAATGAAAACTAGTGGGAAAGAATTTAGAGAGGTTTAGGTACCAAATATTTAGCTTTTCAAATCTATATTAACAACCATGAACAGTGACGCATATCTATAATACTAACTCTTAAGAGGTAGAGGCAGGAAAATCAGCAGTTCAGTGTTATCTTGGGCCACATAACAAGTTTGAGGCTAGCCTGGATTATATGAAACCTTGACTCAAAAAATAACATGGTCACTCATATAAAATAAATAAACAAAAATTAAGTGAAAAAAATAAAAAAATAATAAAAAAAAACATGGCATGGAACTGTAAGCTAAAATCCACTTCCTGTCCCCAAGAAAACAACAGTTAATAACAATAAACAAAACCCTATTAGACCAGCTTTGGCGGCATGCTCCTATGACTGTAGCACTTCGCAGGCTGAGCAAGTAGTATTTGTAATACAAGGCCAGCCTGGGCTACAGAGGCAGAACTTGACTCAGATGAGATTGGGCACATACCACAAAGTGATAGGGCCATAAGAACCTGTCTAGGAAAACTTGGAGCTAAAACGAGCTCAGTGGTTGTACTTGTCTAGTATGTCAGAACCTTGGATTCAATTACTAACCTCACACACACACACACCGGGGTGATCTGAGTTGATCCCCCTTTTTTTTCCTTTCAAATAATTGCTAGATTCATCCAATGGGATTTTTTTAGTGTCTTCTAAAAGTATCTATGTTCTAAATAATCCCTTTATATGTCATAGATTTTAATGGATGATTATTCAGGTCATCTTCTTTTTCTAAATATCTTGGATTTGTTTTGTTTCTATTTTTTAAGATTTATTTATTTTATGTTTATGAGTGTTCCATCTTCATGTGAACCTGCATGCTAGAAGAGGACATCGGAACTTATTAGAGATGGCTGTGAGCCACCATGTGGTTACTGGGACTTGAACTCAGGACCTCTGGAAGAGTAGCTGGTACTCTTAACCACTGAGCCATTTCTCCACTCCCCTTACAGTAACATGCTATAACTTCTAACTGTAAAAAATTGAAGGTTCTTTGTTACTTATTACTGTCTTTAAAAAATAGCTATTAGGCCAGCAAGGTGACTTAGTGGGTAAAAGCACCTGCCACCAAGCTTAGTGTTCTGAATTTGTTCCTTAAGGCTTACAGGGTAGGAGAGTATCAATTCCTACAAGTTACCCTCTGTGACATGTGCACACCATATATATATATATACACACACATATGTACACACAAAAAAGTAAAAAAAAATTGAATAGTTTATCTTCTGTACTACTCTTGTGGAGCAAAGAGCTGCTGCTATTTGTGTGAATTGGATTTAAGAACATATCTTAGCATGAGAACACATTTCTATAATCCCAGCATTTGGGATTCATACAAGAGAATCACAACTTCAGGCCTAGCCTGGTCTACGTGATAAATTTGAGACCAGTTTAAGGTACATAGCAAGACTATGTCTCAAACAAAACAAAAACATAAAACAGGATCTGGAGAGGTAGCTCAGTGATTAAAAGCACTGACTGCTGTTGCAGAAGACATGGGTTCAGTTCCCATCACCAACATAGCAGCTTACAACTGCTTGTAACTCCAGTTCCAAGGTATCCAATGCCCTCTTCTGGTCTCTGCAGCACTAGGCATCCACATAGTATGTATGCATACATGTGGGCAAACACTCATACCTTAAAAGTAAATAAGCTCTCTTTTAAAAAACCTCAAAACTTATCATATTTTATGTACCTAAAAAAAAATCTATACTCATCAGGCCTTGAGAGGTGGCATAGTAGGTAGGTGCACTGGTTGCTGTTTAAGAGGACTTGGGTCCAATTCCTAGTACCCACATGGTGGCTCACAACTGTAACTTCAGTTCCAGGGCATCTAGTACCTTTATCAGGCCTCTGAGGGCACCAGGCAAGAAACATACATGAAGGCAGAATACACATACACGTAAAAATAAAATACATATTAAAATGTATATTTATTAATTAGTTTTAAAAGAATAAATGTCAAGCTTTATGCTCAAGTTTTATTGAATAAATTTTTCCATTTGTTTATACTTTTGAACTATGAAAGTAAGTTGTGTATGTTTTTGTGTATTGCATATATTCTGTTTAAGTATGGTGGTACACACTTGTAACTCCAGTGCTCAGGAGCTGGAATCGGAAAGAACTGAGGCCAGACTGGTCTTTACTATATAGTGGGTTCAAGGCCAGCCTAAATTATATAGTAAGATTGTCAAAACAAAGATCTGCTGAGAGGGTAAAAGTACATATCACATGGCGGAGGGAAAACCAATTACCACAGGTTGTCCTCTGACCTTCATTGGCATGCTGTTGTAACCCCCTCCTCTGATACTCCCAAAATGAATAAAATGCAATACAAAGTTAGTTTGAAAAGCTAAATGTGAGCTATGCACAATACCATGCATATTTAATTCCATTACTCAGGAGGGCAGAGGCTTGGTAGTTAAGAGCACTGTGAGTTTAGAGGCCAGTATGGTCTACATAATGAGTTCCAGACCAAGTAGACTATATAGCAGGACCCCATCTTTTTAAAAAAGAAAAAAAAAATGGTTCAGTGGCTAAAAGCACATACTTCTCTTGCTACAGACCCAGTTCAGTTCCCAGCAGTCATGTGGAGCAGCTCATGACCAACTGGAATTCTAGCCTTAGGGAATGCAATGCTCCTGGCTTCCGTAGATGCTAGTACATGCTCATACTCAGACACACATGCATCCTTATAATTAAACATAGAAAAATGTCTTTACAAAAGTAATATATTTGAGTTAAATTTATCAAGAAAGAGGAACTCCTTTTGTAGGAAGGGAAAAAGGTAAATAGAAACGTGTGAAGGTTAGCAGTTTTTAGACAACTTTATTATAATTTGTTGAATATTTTAGATAGAAGATAATTTTTCT